CCCTTACAGGTGTAAAAGTACAAGAGTCCATATTCCAGCAGGTAAAAAGATTTTATATTAAAAGAGATATGTGATAAAAGAACTGAAGAAAGACTTAGAGAGGGTCTGCAGCATCCAAATTGGCTAAGTGGGCCATGAGAACCAAAAAAGTAAAAATGTATAATAAACTAAAAAACTGCTGAGATCAGATAAGGGACACAGCTGCAACTGCAAGAAGTCTGCACAAGTCTAGGGACTGTATTAAGTTTAAAAATCACAGACTGCTCTTTGGGTCACAAAGTTCTTGTGAGTGAAGGGATATGTCTAACGCCAATTAATAATTGTGTGCTTGCTGTTTTTTAAAGATGCTGTAATTGAATTATTGCCAAGCTCTTGTTGTTCCTTGTATGACTTGATAGTTTTCTTTTCTGTATATAAACTACTGATTTGCAAAAGTAAAATTACAGCAGATTCAAACCACTTCTGAGTGTGTTGTCTGTCTGTCATTCACCGAATCCTTGCCTTCCTGACTACCCAAGCCCTGGTTCTCCTATGGTCATGGTACCCCCGATGGGCTAGTCCATGGCAGTCTACAGAGCGAGTTCTAGGACAGCCAGGAATACACAGAGAAACCCTGTCTTGAAAAGAAAAAAAATCATTTGAAGTGGGAAGACTCATTTTTTTTTTCTTCTGAGACTGAGTTTCTTTGTGTAACAGCCCTGACTGTCATGGAACTCGAGGCTGGCCTCACAGAGATCTGCCAGCCTCGGCCTCCTGAATGCTGGAATTAAAGGTGTGAGCCACCACTCCTGGTGGCAGGAAACCCAGTTTTAACCTAGAACTTTCTTTTAAGGTGGGGAGATCCACCTTTAATCTGGGCCACACCTTCTGCTGGAAGCCTATATAACAGACATGAAAGAAGAAACTTGGCTATCTTTGCCTGCTTGCTCTCACCCTCCATGGAAAGTCCATTCCTTCAGTGGCATTGGAAGCTACTTCTTCAGGATTCCAGCATATGCTGAAGACCAGCTGAGACATCCAACCTTGTGGACTGAACAACTACTGGATTCTTGAATCTTTCATTGATAAGCAGCCATTTTTAGAATAACTGGACCACAGCCTGTAAGTCTAAAAAATACCCTTTCTATATCTATCTAGATGTATTTATTAGAATATATATATATATATATATATATATATATATAGAGAGAGAGAGAGAGAGAGAGAGACACATAGTTGATATACAGACTCATTCTATAAATTCCGTTTCTCTGAAGAACCCTGATTAATACAATTACTTGGTTAGTGTTGTTGTTTAGCTTAATTAACATGCTGCCAAATGTAGTCATGAGACCCTGATATCAAAGAAGAGAGGATCTGAGGGTATTTCATCTTTATCTCCCCTCTGAAGGAGGCTTTTAAGAATTTGGATTGTAGAATTCTCTCAAGAGATAGTTTTTGGAGAATTACTGTGTGATTGCGGCATAGATATAAATTGCTATGGGAGACAGTTCCTTTTTACCTGAACAGACTCCCAATAAAAGACTATCCTATTCAGATGGAAGTTCCCCTGCTCCCCAATATTAGCCACTCTGAGAAAGCCTAGAGCAGTCAGAACTGGGTGAGCCACTAGGTAGCAGATAGACACACTCCTCTGTTTCCTCTAGATAAAGTCTTTGCCCTTTCTATCTTTTTCGTTTTTTTGAGACAAAGTTTCTCTGTGTAGTCCTAGATGTTCTAGAGCTTGCTCTGTAGATCAGGCTGACCTCAAACTCATAGATCTGCCTGCCTCTGCCTCTGTGTGCTGGGATTAAAGGCATGTGCCACCATTGCCTGGCTTCCCTTTCTATCTTTTGACAACAATGTCTAAGATGGCCCCTTGGCCACTCATGTTGTGTTGTATGGCAGTGAAAGAAACGCAAAAGACCACATTTCAAAGCTCCCTTGAAATAGTCAAGCCATAGGACCCATATTTTGGCCACTGAGATGTTAGAAGTAATGGTGTTTGAAGACCCCTCCATGATTCTCTAGATTTGTTTTATTTCTCCTTGTTGAGGTAACTGTTGTTTTTCCGGATGGTGGGGTTTCAATCAGCCTATGCTTTTGAGTAAGTGAAGTAGACCCCTCCCTCCACCATTCCCCACTCACCCAGTGAGCAGACTGCTAGAGCAAAAATGACTCATTATGTGCTAAGCTGCTGAAGCGTGGAAGCTGCTGCCATAGCATAAGCTGGATATGTCCTGCCTACAATGCCCTTACAAGTCAACAAATGCTCAAGTGCCTGGGAATTGATGCTTATCTTCAGTAGATTCAGCTCTAGATGAACAAGTTCTTTGGGTCCCTTGATTAACAGTCTAGCTTGAAAGCTTACGTCCTCTTTCCAGCATGTAATTTGGTTTTGCCTTTTTGTATCCTGCATTGTGGAGAGGCAACTGAGAACAAGTGACTTGGGACATGCCACCTGTGTAGGCAGGAGGAATACAACCACTCTGTGGCCTGGAGAATATATAACAGAGATGCCATGAAACCATGTAAACTGATTGACATTGATTTGCAACTCCTAAACTAGCTACCCAGGGGCAGTGTACCACAGGATCACCATAGCCCAGGTGGCAGCTGGACTTTAGTACAGAAAGACCAGGAACTGTTTTTCTAGGCTATTCAGAGAACATCCAGTTCTCAAAAGATGAGTTATACTAAAAGGTTAGTATGTAAACCAGATACCATTTATTTTTTCATTTGCCAGAGGAGTTGGTTTTAGTAACATAAATACTCATGAGAACAATCCAGAATGACTCTTCCCTATAAGAGAAAAATCAGGAAAAACAGAACACATAAAGGAAAGCTGATACATGGACATTAAGAGGCCAGCATCTTGTAGGCAATGATCACCCACACCCTGAAGGTAGTCCTACTGGATTTTGATTCTCACCCCCACTCTCTCACATTCTCCTCTCCTTCCTCCTCCTGTATCTCTTGGTCAATATTGGGTATACTAATTTTATTTTTTGCTTTCAAGTTCCTGATTTTGTTCCACAAGGTTCAATAAAGCTAATTGGATGTTGTCTCCAGTTTGCCATCTGTTCTTGTAAACATTTTACTGGATCACATCCATGCCCATTAATTCACATAGTCTATATTTGCATTTCCTTCATTCCATTAGCAATGGCAAAGCTTGTGATATTTATTACCTGGTTTTGTTTACAAAAAAATTATGTTGATCTCTGATGCAGACACGGCCATTACTGTCCAACCAAAAAACTCTTCTTGCTTATGGTGATGACTCACAAGTCATGATCAAATGCAACCTTCAGGGGCAGGGGACAGAAAAACATCCAAGTTTGGTGAATCTATGGTCACGCACACATGTGTTCTTGTGGTTCTGATTCCAGGGTTTGGAGGCTGCCAATATTTATTTTTCATAGTAAACGTGTTGTAGACTGCACTTCAGAGATTAATACTGAATATAGACATTAGGATATGGATTCCAAAAGATACTCTATCTCTCCCTTGTATACACATTTAGTTCTTTGGCTCTTAGTTCTATAAAATCAAATATCCTGGCCTCCAGAACGGGCTGATAGGAACATTTTGTGAGGTCTTTTACAAATAGGAGAGAGATTTATATCTAGTCAACATTCACGTGATGTGAATTATCTTGTTTGGTACTAGTTAAATGATTCCCTTGGATCACTTCTGACTCTGAAAGTCTGCAATTGTTACCAAAAGACTTGATACCCATCTTCTCTGTAGACAAGGGATAAATGGAGGTCTTCTGCTAGGAACATCCACTCACTCCTGTTCATAAACATCCATGCTATCTTGGCCTTTGGCAGAACTCAGCAGGAATTCTCTGAAGTAGTCTGCCAGGTGACCAGGAAAGCTCCTAGATCCTCTCCAAAACCAAGAAAATTTCAGAAATCATTGTAAAGACAGCTCCATGGGAATGGGCTGGGTGTGAGACAAGATTGGTATGACAGTTCTCTCTGTTGTAGATGATTCTTGGCTCTCTCCGGGCATGCTGAGAACAAAAGAGCAGTATTCTCGAGAATTCATTGCAGAAAAAAAAAAAGATTATCTCCAGGTATCCCAAAGGTTAAATGTTAGAATTCAATAAGGGGGCACAATATGGATGAGGTGTGTGTGTGTGTGTGTGTGTGTGTGTGTGTGTGTGTGTGTGTGTGTGTGTTAAAAAACATGGCTATGTATAGAAAGACTGTGTGTGTTTATGAGTTGCCATAAATTCGACCATAAAGGAATGTAGAGAGTAGTAGGGACTTCCAGAAGAACCAACTGCCCAATTGCTAGGTCCAAAGCTAGAGCTGCCACTCCCCAGTGGCAGTACTATAGTGGGCCATATAGTAAATTTGTTTCACAAATGTTTTGTCTCCCATTATCATCTTCAGAGGATTAGTGTCTTTGCTTGCCTTGCTAAAGTTGCGTTTGGCCATGAGACTCTCTTTGGCAGATACAATACGGGCAGAAGCAGCAGTGTACCAATCTCACACTACAAAATTGAGAGGTATTGCATGATTTTACCATTCCTCTTATGTCATCTGAGAAAAGTCTGCCCCAGGTAGCCACTGTTACACTCCACCTCTGGGCCCCGATGGGACGCACACAGCAGAGCCATGACAGTCAAGCTACAGACACATCATGTGAAAATAAGTATCTTAATGCTGCATACCAGAGAGTTTTTGCTTTTATTTGTTATGTAGCAGAAACTGACTGATACAGGCAAAATACTTCACACCTGTTTCTTCTCCAGGAAAATAGAGAGAAAAATGAGTCCTGATACTAATGACTGTTATGAGAGTCAGGTGAGCTAACACCTATGCAGTGCTTTGGACACTTGCTAGCACACAGTACGTGCTTAATAAGCTGTGTGAACTGTTGTTGATGTAAATGTCCATGTAAGCAAGCATCCAGACCGTAAGGGTGGCTGAGCACACAATCAGGTGTGAAAGTGTGTGAGACTGAAGGGGGAGAGTGGCTAGGCCGGTGTGAGTGGGGACTCAGGCTCAGCAGAAGTACTCGTTGATACGTCTGCCACCCCTGACTCCCAAGACCTGGGAGTCCAGGCTGGAGCGTGCTGAGAGAAGCCTATCTGCCTCACTGAGGCTGCTCCTGGACAGCTCTGAACCATCCTCGCTGTGGCCCAGTCTTTCCAAATTAACATAGGCACCAGTCGCCTCTGCAGAGCCCCCTGTGCGGCACTTGTGGCAGCGTCTTCGGAGAGCCCCGCAGCAGACGAGCAGGGTGGGAGGCAGCGCGATGATGGCTGCCACGCTGATCACCACCATGTTGATGAGCCGCTGGGTGCCCTCTGCATCTACCACCTCGTCGGTGGAGAAGATGACACACTGTTCCTTCGTAGGCACTAGGCCCCGCACACAGACACATGCCACATACTTGGTCTTCGGAGCAAGCCCCTCGATGGTGACACTAGTCTTCCCAGGCTCCACAATCATCCTTCGCATGTCACTCTGCCCAAAGACTGCGTAAAGGACACTAAAGGCAGTTGTGTTCCCAGCCTGAGGGGCTTTCCACACCAGTGACACACTGTGGTAAGTATCTCCCACCACCTTGAGAGACCTGACCATCTGGGCCTCCTGCTGTTCTGCTTGCTCTCTGGAGAACTCTCCTGGGACATCCATCTGAAAGTGCTGGAGCTCCAGTTCCTCTTTTATGCTGGGCACTGAGGGCTTGGTGGCCATGGCTACAGGCTCAGGAATATGGGGAACATGCCTGGCCACCAGCTTGTTGTTGTAAGCAGCAGCTTCGGCCCCCTCCCCTGTCCTTGCCCACAGGGCCCTTGGAACCCCACTGTATTCTGTAGAAGTCTGGGGCTCGGTGACAATTAAGGAGATAAGGGTTTCAGAAGCCCCTAGAAAGTTCTTGGCCTGGCAGATGTAGTCTCCAGAGTCAAAGAGAGACACAACAGGCAGATCCAGCAAAGTCCAGCTTGAGCCATCACTGGAGACTTCCTGGTGCACTAGGGAGAGAAGAGGCAGATATGAAGGAATGAATGAATGAATGAATGAATGAATGAATGAATGGTCTTCACAGGCTTCCTTCTAAGGCCAAGGTCACACATAGTCCCTGGTCTACACACACTGTAGGGAATACCACTCATCCCAAGCAAATATGCCCTCAAATCTCAAGTCGTACAAGGCCTACCTCACTCGATTACTCAAGAACAAACCGTCAAAGAACAAACTAACTGCCTTCAAAGTCTGACATGCCTAGAATTTCCCCTTCAGCTTCCAGAGCGCTGCAAAGGTGACCCCTCAGGGAAGCAGGCAAACGCATTGGGGGTAGGTAGTTTCAGGGGTGAGTGTGAGGCAGAGAGGACAATCTGGAAGTGCCATACCCCCTTGCACACCCCAACTGAAACGTCTAATCAGCATCCTCACCTTTGTATTTTTGCACAGTGGAGCCTTTTGCACTGCTTTGCAAACCAATCCAAAGTCCCTATTCTAGAGCAATGGTTGACAGCCTTGTTTAGGGAGACAGAAGAAAGCTGGGAGTGATGTGAGATTGTCCGGTGAGGTGCTAGGAAATTATTTCTCCTCGACTTATTTTCTGCCTGGGTACGACTGTGATTCTTGTCCCCGCTGCCACCGCAAGAGATGATCCATCTCTGCCACACAACTCGGCCAGAATAGACCCTTCATACACACTGTGAATCCAGCGCTAGACTGACTGGAATCCCAGCTTCTTCATAGAGGAGCTGTGCGAGGCGGGGCAAGCATTTACCTCTCAGCACTTCCATCTATTTGCATGAATAAAGATAATCAGGTTGCTTTTTACAGTTTTGTCTTGGTTTGGCTCAGGGTGGGGGTGGTTCTGATGAAGGTCCCAGGTGGCCTGACTGACCCATAACTCTCAATGTAGTTAAGAGTGGCCTTGAACGTCTGATCTTCCTGCCTCCCAAATGCTAGGGCTATAGATTCAGATCACCATGCCCAACCTCACCTGCTTTTTAAAGTTCAGTGACATTATGGACATAATTTACTTAATATAACATTAGACCCATAAGAATATCTCAACAGATGGCAATTCCATCATTTTTTACCCTTGATGATTCTGCATTAATATTTTAAAAAGAAAAACCGGCTAAAATGTTAAATATATTGAGTGTTTTTTTCCTAAAAATCAATTTTGTGCCAGGTGGGTCAATGCACACCTTTAAATCCAGGAGGCAGAGGCAGGCATATCTTTGAGTTCAAGGCCAGCCTGATTTACAGAACATGTTCCAGGACAGCCAGGGCTACACAGAGAAACCCTGACTCAAAAAACAAAACAAAACAAAAATTAACTTTGTATTGCTCCCAACATGGGCTCTGAGTTTCTGATAATAAAATGACTAATGAGAAATAACAGGATGGGTTGCAAGTCATTGTCATAATCAATGTCCAGCATATGAGCAGATTCTAGCCAATTGCATTCAGACAGATCAGAGCCAAGGCTGGCTTATACCAGTCCCTGCTAATTCTGTCCACTCTCCATTTGGGAAGCTGACCCACATGTATCAATCCAGCACTCAATACAGAAGGCCTTGTTGCTCACTCACCTGTGCCATTGAGTGCGCGTCCGTTGGCTCTCCTCCAGCTCATCTCAGGACCTGGGATCCCAGTTGCTCCACAACGTAGCAATACTGTGCTACCCAAAGGGGATATGATGCTGGTCACCCCTGGACGGAGCTCTGGGCTCTGACACTTTCTCAGCTCCAGCTGGCTGAAGGTCACTCCAGCCAGGCTGCGTGGGCTGGCACACCTCAGTCTAGGTTCGATGAAGACCAAGTTTGAAGTCCAGCCATCTAGGAGATGAACCAGGTCATAGAGTCGACAGTCACATACCCAGGGGTTGTCCTGAAGCCCTGCAGAAGTGAGAAAGTAAGCAAGGGGTTAACCCCAGATCTCCAGATCCATTGGCAAGTCCATGTCCCCTCTGGGAAGATGAGGCCGTTTTTCTGCTCAAAGTCAACAGAACTGACCTCAAATCCCAGCTCCTCATCTTGCTAAATTGCTAAACTTAATTTTTCACTTTCCGTGACAGCATTGTTTTCCCTCACTGCTTCTCTCTTCATAAAGTGCTTCTAGTATCAAGAATTAGAAATCACTCAAAAATACTCACTGGGTCTGAGGAGCTGGACCAGTGAATACAGCCCTTGCTGGGTGAGTCTGAGGACCAGAGTTTGGTTTTCCTAATATGCATAAAAGGCAGGCAGGCATGGTGGAAGCCTGTATTCTCCATACTAGGAAGGTGGAGACAGTGACTCCCTAGGGCAAACTGCAGTGAGACCAGCTGAATCAGTGAGCTCTGGGTTAGTGGGGGACCCTGCCTCAATAAATAAAACAGAGAATGGCCATGGAAGACAACTGACATCAGCTTTAGGTTTCTACATTCATATGAGTGTGCACTTGCACACACACACACACACACACACACACACACACACACACACACACACATGTGCCATACACATGCAAGCAGATACACACACATGCCACATACACAAAGTATGACAAAGACTGAAAATTGTACCAGTCTCCTTAGAAGCAATCAAACTGAATGTAAATATTTTAACATGTGTACTGTATTATCTGGCAAGTTCACTTCTCAGTTTCTATCCTTCAGATGCACTGGCATACACATACTAAAAATACATGGCTGAGAATAGTCTCTGGCACCAAAGGTGTTAATAAGACAGTGAGAACAATCTAAAGACCTTTGAAGTGAGGATGGCTGCTTTACTGTGGAAAATGAACCTTCTCATTTGCAGTTATCTAGAAAGCGTTCTGAGATACATTGTTGAATGAAAAAAATTGGTGGTGGTTAATATATACAATATGGTTTTAAAAAAATTAGCACCAGGGGCTGGAGATGGCTCTGTGGTTAAGTGCACTGGCTGCTCTTCCAGAGGATCTGGCACCCACATGTAGGCTGTGGGTACAGCTACATGATGTGGGTACATCATCTGTAACTAGTGATACAGGGGATATAACACCCTCTTCTGGCATCCAAGGGCACAGACACACATGTGGTACACAGACAAATACATTAAAAAATTGCAACATTACACAGCTTCTCTCTCTCTCTCTCTCTCTCTCTCTCTCTCTCTCTCTCTCTCTCTCTCTCTCTCTGTGTGTGTGTGTGTGTGTGTGTGTGTGTGTGTGTGTGTGTGTGTGTGTGTGTATTTGCATGCACATGTAAACATATTGTAAAAGATAAGGATCTTGTAAGTAAACATGATAATTGGAAGCTGCCCTTGGGAGAGGGATTAGGGTAGGAAAAGGGACAAAGGGATCTTTAGCCTCTTTGCTTTGCTTTTAATGGCTTTTCCAGTGATAGCTGTACCTGTCAGCCCCAAGAGCAGGCAGGTGCCCTGGGCAGCAAAGGCTTGCTTGTTTACTTGGTAAACTTTCGGTTTATTAGGAGCAAAGAGGGATAGAAGAGGCAGAGGGTCTGGCTGACATACTGTGCTGACTCATTCTGTCCTGCGCTGTGAACCTGAGTTTAACCAGGCCACACACTGGTTGTGTGACTAGGGACCTCCTGAGTATCAGTTTTCTTATTTCTAATGCTGGAATATGAGCTGGCTCGGTTTGTCTAGAGCTGCTAAACCTGAGATTAATGCCGACATCTTTCCATCTTCCCTCAGGTGTAGAAGGTGAGCATGATGTCAATCAGACACAGAGAGGCTTGAATAGTTGCCTAAAACCCCAAGATGCACCGGGATGGTTCAGGATGAAGGAAGCCATCTTGATTACCTAGAACTAGCCTGGCACGGTGACCTGAATGGAAGGGTCCGATCTTCAGGTGAGCCCAGGTGTCTAGCAGCTCCAGGGGAAGCCTCATCAGCTGGTTGCTGGAAAGGTCCAGGAAAGTAAGGTTCTCCAGGAAGTGTGCAGCTTCAGGTGGCAAGGTCGACAGGCGATTGGCCTGCAGGTCGAGCAGCTGCAGTTGTGGAGCATCCCTGAGCGCAGCCCAGGGGAAAGCAGCCAGGCGGTTCCCAGGCAGACGCAGCTCTCGCAGGCGGCGCAGACCCCTGAGCATGAGGGCACTGAGCTCGCTGAGAGCATTGTAAGGCAGCCACAGCTGTTCCAGGCGGCTGAGAGGCCGGAAGGCCTCTCCAGGCACCCTCCGGATGGAGGTCCGCTCCAGGCGCAGCTTGCAGGTGTCTGGAGGAATCGAAGCTGGGGGCAAGGTCAAGTCAGGGTCGCTGCACACCACTGTCCTGGTCACAGAAATGGGGGATATTTGAACAAACATCCTTCCCTTATGAGCCCCCAGATCTGCTTGTTAACACAGACATCAACATTGCATCATAGTCACAGTGCCTGCCCACTGCTGTTGATAATCTAGCCAAGGAAGAGAGACCCTAACACGTACATAGAAAGACCCTAATGCTTAGTGCATAGACATACAGTGCCGATGTGTACGGGTAGGATGTTAATAAGGAAGGTTTGGATCCAGGTAAAGGAAGGGAATTGATAGGGAAATTGTTCCTAAATTGGGGAGAAATGGTTAAGGGAAGACTTAAAGGGTAGGAAGAGCCTAACATGAGCCACCTTAAAAAACTGTGCACTAAGAGAAAGGGGAAACATTTATTTAGGTGCCCATATTGCCCCAGCCAAGTCACTCCCCGACACACACAGTTCCAACTGTGATTCCCAGAGGCATGCATACTGTGTTCAGGATTTGAACATGAAGCAGGAAGGGTGCTAGGATGCTACTCTACAAGGTTAGAGTTGGGTCTGAGGAAGGTATTTAACACACTAAAGGAGCCTTGATATCAGTCTATGCCTGTGGTGGCTAGAGACTTGGGCTTCCCTGTAGCCTTTCATGGCCTCACTGCCCTCGTAGAACACTCTATGTAGATGGCTGAATCTCCTGCTCCTCACACACGGCAGAATTCCCAGCATCTAAAAAATAGATCCATGGATTCTGGTACTGGTTCCATCACCAACGGCATGTGACTTTGAGGCATTTGCTCTCTGTGGATGGTGTTACCTTTGTGACCAGGGTGACAAAAAGCACCCTCACCACACTGTCCCGAGTCATCAGTCATTTTCCAGGCTGATTAAGCATCATTAAGCATCAGCCTGTCTCAGTGAAAGGAAATTTACTCTCCATATGAATGAAATCATCAAACACATCAACAATGGAATGCTTTCTTTTCTCCAGAACATACATGTTATCTTTTCTGGAGGTCCCTCTCCATTCCCAGCCTCTACCATCCCCGATCAATTCAACGTTGCCAGCATCATGTGAAAAGGTAGTTTCAATAACTTCATTTCCACCATCAGAAACCATCAGTGTTTCTCCAGTATTCACGTGAGACAAAGAAGAAAGGATGATGGATTCCACAAGGTTGGAAAGCAGGTAGGAAAAGCCCTGAGTGAGGGACTGAAATCCTTGAGACATCAGAAAATAAGTTCCCTCCAGAATAAGCCAAGAACGTTGAGAAAAGATGACTTAAAGCTGGCTGACAAGAGGAAGAAATCGAGCTCCATGAGAAAAGCCAGGGTCCACCAACCACAGTGGCTTTGGCTTTGAAGGTCCATGAAGAGGAGAAGAAAGCGTGAGGGAAATCAAGAAGTGGGCTGAGGATGGCGGGAGCTTCCTACAAGGGAGTGGGTACTGCTGGCCTTATAGACATCCAAGTATGGGGGAAGTACATCAGGAGGCATGTGTCCCACCATGGGTTAGGAGACAAAAGCACCTGAATGTGACTGGGTGTCTTGTGGAGGTCAGGCATGAGAATGAGGGATGCCTAGAAAGAAGGAGCTGGGGGACACCGAGAAGATAAAAATGGAAGGAAGCAAACAGAGGGAAAGAATAAGATAAGGAAGAAACTTCTACACGTTTAAAGAGGGCTTCTCCCTACCAGAAACATGAAGGAAGGCTCAGGAAGAACTTCCAGAACCTGGCCCATGCAGGGCCCGTACACTTCTGGGCAGAGTAAACCCCCTGCTTGCTGAAGATGACACAGCAGTGATTGTTTTCAAAAGACCTTGGGTTTCAAGGGTCCCCAAACCGGCATGTCTATTGTACCAGATGGCCTCAGGTGGGAGCAGGTGTCTTGGAAGTGGACAGCTGCCGGGCATCCAACTCTTCCCAACTCTGCCGAGCTGGTGGACCTATGAAGGCCTGATGACCCATCCCACACCTGGTGGTGTCTTACCTGGCCTTGCTGCCATCACTCAGGATGTGCAGGTTGCAGCTGCATTGAGAGGGACAGAAGCTCCAGGCCTGGTGAGGTCCCCCAAGGGCAAGGAGCCAGAGCATGCCCACAGCCACCCACATGGCTTCTGGCTCCTCTTGGGCCCAGGCAGGGGGCCTGTCCCGGGAATGCTCCGTCCTGCTTGTCCAGTAGGTCCAGCAGCTACCCACTTGCTCATCACTCTCCAACCCCCACCCCAAGGCCATGGGATAAACACAGGCTGGGGATTAGGGAGGGAGCCCCAGCCCCAGCACTCAGCAGCTTATTGCTTCCTGAATCACCCAGTCTTCAGGGGAGGGAGAGAATCCCGCTATAGAAACAAGCTCAGGCCACAAGAAGCTGGGGTACAGCAAGATAAAGCAGATGGGCAGCTGCCCAGGGGCAAGCGACTAGTGACTAGCTGAATGGGCTGTCTACTTGCAAAGAACTCTATTTCAACCAGGCCATGGGTAACATCTGTCTCCTTGAGGTGTTAGGCTCAAGGAAAAAAAGAAAAACAGATTGTGGTCTCTAAGAAGGGCCTTTGAAAATTGTCTCCTATGATAGTCTCTAGAAAAAAGGAGCGACATGAAGCAAAGCTTTCTGAAGACCACGCAAGCATTAGAAAGAGTCTGTGCTTCAGGGCACAACACCTGTATTCAGACCTCAGATCATCAGTCACAAAAGAGAATAAAGCTTTTCCACCTGGAGTGCTGCTGAAAAGTAGCCCAGGCATGCCCATCCTTGACTGTCCAGGGGACAGAACCTTCCCACAAACTGTAAATTTCTGGAACTTGCAGGCACTTGCTCACAGAGGAGATTCTGACATTGCAGGGAGACATTAGAGATGTCTACATATGCTCATGAACATGGGCAAACATCTGCCTTTCTTTAATGCCCCATGGACACCCAGTCTCAGAACCCAAAGCTGTCAGTGGGCTACCTTTTGAGGCATTACCACTGATGCTGACCGCAAGGGTGTCACTGCAGGAGGAGAGAGGTCAGCCCTCTTCAAGGGTCATGCAGCAGGAAGGGTCCTAGAGCTGGATCTCACAGAGGTTTTTGGAGATTTTATTTGTTTTCTCTTCTCCAACTCCATCCTGGAAAATCTTCTCGAGATGCCAGGGAGGAGTGAATATTAAACTTCCTGGTAAGTCACCCATTCACTGGCTTTGCTTTCTGTCTCAGAACACTTGGTCCTCTGGCTTTTCCAGCAGGGTCCACAATCTGGAATGCTCAAGAGCCTAGTCAAGCCTAGGCTGATGAGGTTGGCCAAAGAAGATGCTGAGGACTGTGCTAGATAGTTTTATGTCAACTTGACACAAGCTGAAGTCATCTGTGAGGACAGAACCTCAATTAAGAAAATGCCTCCATAAAATCTGGCTATACACAAGCCTGTAGGACATTTTCTTAATTAGTGATTAAGCAGGGATGGCTCTGTCCATTGTGGGTGGGGCCACTTCTAGGCTGGTGGTCTTGGGTTCCAAGAAAGCAGGCTGAGCAAGTCGTGGGAAGGAAACCAGTAAGCAGCTCCCCTCCATGGCCTCTGTGTCAGTTCCTCCCTCCAGGTTCCTGCCCTGTTTGAGTTCCTGTCCTGACTTCCTTCAATGATGAATAGTACTGTTGAAGTGTAAGCCTAATAAACTCTTTCCTCTCCAAGTTGCTTTGGTCATGGTGTTTTGTTGTAGCAACAGTAACCCTAAGACAGAACCCAGTGCATACACATACAGTGCCTAGCTCCATGCCAAGCCTGTCTAGACAGTATCAGCTCCCCAAAATGATGCTTCTCATATCTTCTCTTCATATCCAGCCAGTAGCATTTTCTCAGTGCTAGGACAGTACCTGTCACCCTCCTCCTGTAATCAAAGACTTCTCTACCTGCTGCCACACCCAGGCCGCCTTTTCCTCTTGTTTGGAGTGAATGCTTTCACTCAGACTTTATCTAGTTGACTCTGTACTTTACTCCTAACCTTGTCCCTTCTCTTCTTTCCTGGTGTCTTTGGTGATCTTGTGGGCATGGGAAGACAGTTGCAGGTGTTAACCAGCAAGTTAGAAATCAGAAAAAGAGTAGGGAAGGCCCTGGAGGATGTAGCTGGAATTTCAGGCTCCAAGAGTCATTAAATTCAGACTTAAGTAGGTATTGGCAGGAGGGAAGGTTTATGACCTGAATGTTACCGGACAGAATGAACTGCTCTTCTAGAGGGGATCAGAGGTCGCCAATGGGAAATGCCAGGGCCCGCACGATGGAAGGCGAGAGTGGTTGCCTTCCACCCCCACACTCACTACACGGCCCTGGGCTGATTCCTAACTAACTTATCTCCTTTTCCTCATTTAAAATGGAGGGGAACTGGCAGTTTATTCATGGAGTTATTTTTAGGAGTCTTCTGATAATCATCCATTAGTGTAGTCCCTAACTTTAATAGACGTGAGCTATTTTGCTAATAGCCCTTTGGGACTTGGTCTCTCCTTCTGAAATTAGTTGTGGCATAGTTTACTGTTTTCTGAAGTGGATTTCACTGTGAACCGGGATACAATTTGTACTAAGACCTTGTGTATAGAAGCCAAAGTTCTTAGTGAGTCCTGAGGCACTTTGAAAGAGTGCAAATCATCCTTCATCCTGATATATTTTATGCATGCATAGCTCAAAGTCTGTATGGGAAATAGGAAGTGAAGCCCCAGAGTCTAAATCCACAATGGATTCAACCATTCCCTAGCACTTAGCTGGGAAAGGGCATGGCACACAAATGCCTAAGTTGAAAAGATAATGACCCAATGGCTGCAGTGCAGAACAGAGAGCCAGTAATGGCAGATTCGGAGCCAGAAGCTCAGGGTCTGGTCCCAGTCTACATTTGTTTTATGACAGCACAGGACTTCAAAAGCCTTCTCCTTCCCCCTGCACATGCCTCTGGTTCCGTGAATGAACTTGCACACACACACACACACACACACACACACACACACACACACACACATGCACGCACGCACGTGCACACGCACACACAGCTTGTCAGCAACTATGCACATAGAAGGGCTGGCTACTCTCCAATTCTCAGGGACAGCTGCAGCTCAAATCCTTTCTTCCACTTCCCTCCCTGGGTTATGCAACCCTTTCCCAATTCAGCTTTCAGTTACACACCATTTGGATCCTAGACCTTAATCCTGCCTAGTGGGCTGAAATGAACAAGGCAGGGCTCGTTCCAGCTTCACAAAGGCTGCACTGTCCTTCTACTGAATGGATTCCTTCTGTGTGAGCCAAGTGGGAGACTTAGAAGGGTGAGAAAAACCGAAGGTGTTCTAAGGCTACCGTAGTAATCCCCATGTGCCAGCAGGTGGGGTGGCCCTTTAAAAAGGAAGAGCCTGGCTTCAGAGAGCCAGAAAAGAGCTGGGCAGCTGACAAAGAGGGAGTCCAAGGATGGCAGTGCCCAGAGCCCTGCCTGCTGGCTTTGGGGAACTCGAGGTGCTGGCTGTGGGAACAGTGCTGCTGATGGAAGGTGAGCCAAGCACGACCTTGGGCAGAGTGAGGGCCCAGTGGTCCCCAGAACCCAGGCCACAGCTGTGGAGTGGGCATATCATCTTGGCTGCCTCTCCTCTGTGTCTGGATCCAGGGCTTATTCTCTTCACAGCCCCCTCAGGATGTAGCATGTTGCATAGGAGCCAGGGGAAAGAAGCCAGGCATGGGTCAAAGAGAGAGACACTTGGCAGAAGATACTTGCTCAGGAGGTAACTGGACCAGGCCTAGACTTTTCATATCCCTCAAGCCAAGAGAAAATTTAATCCACTCCCCAGAAACTTTGCTAAGACTCTCATATTAGACCAGGCCCCCAGAAGTCTCCAGAGACTGACAGCTCAGGTACCTGCTCTCTTTGGGATGATATCAAGTCATTTCAGCTTTCTGACCCTCAAAGTAATCATTATAATGTGTGTCTGCAGAGGCTAAGCTGAATCATTAGTATAAAGTCATGGTCTAAATAGACATCCAGGGAACTTAAGTTCATTATCGCCCTGCCACCTCTGCCTTAGTCTGCCACTACATCCACCAGGTCTAGTCCTACAACCAAAGGCTTTTCTCCAACAGCAACTACTTAGGCCCAAGAGACACCTGCCTCAAGCTAGAATCTCTAAGATCCCCAGTGAGCACAGAAATAGAATCCTTCCTGAAGCCAGGCTGATGGGGTACAGTCTTCATTCAAACCAGACCCAGAAGAGGAATCTGTACATTCTTTTACATGCTGAGGACCGACAATGGGGAGGGAGTGCCAGCCACTAGGACTGTCCTACAGATAGTGGACACCATTGAGTAGGCCCCATCTCCTGGGAACTTAGCCTGCTTTCTGGTCCTCTAATATGCTGGGAAATTTTACTTTACATCTTTACATATGCTTCTCTCTCTTTCTGGAATTCTTTTCCATGCTCTGACCTTCACAATTTTAAAGGAAAAGCTTTCCCTCTCCATCATCCCTGCCCCCTTTCTAGTGAGAGCAAGTTATAACTGAGGATGTAACCCAGGGCCTTCTACAAGCTAGGTAAGATCTCTACCACTGCATTATATCCCTAGTCTGGTTTTTGCTTTTTAGTTTTGAGGTAGGGTTATATAGGCTGACATTAGACTTGTAATTCTCCTGCCTCGGCTTCTTAAGTATCTTGCCCACCAGGCCCAGCTTTCTTTCTCTTTTGAAACAAGAAGCCAAGGTTAAGAAAGTTCAAGGAACAGCAAGAGCGTGACCAAGCTAAAACCAGTCAGTTCTCTGCTGCTAGAGAATCCCTCCTGCCATTTCACCTTGCTGCCTGGTGTCCTGGTCACTCTGTGCTCTAAGTTGGATCCTCTTCTCCAGGTCCCTCCCTGACATTGCCCCACAGCCCTTGAAGGAGGCGTTTTGAAATCTGAAAGACTTGAGACTGTCCCTAGCTCTGCCACTTCCTATGTGCACTGTAAGTGCACGCTCGCTATTTGGCATCACTGAGCCATGGAGAGAAGATTGAATGAAAGGACCCACGCAACAGGCTCTCCAGGGTGCCTGGCCCCCCACTTGTCCAGCACTTGTCAGTGACCAATTGTCACAGCATGAGCCACACGGGGCTGTGCGGTCTTCTCATACATCTTCCTGTTAGATTGTCAGTAGGCAGTGAACAGGGAGAGCCACAGATTTTAGTGCCTGGGGTCATCCCATCAGAGTAGCATTTGAAAAGCTGTGCTGAGGGGTTGCTGAGGTGGAATCTGTAAGGTTACTGAAACCCCATCAACCCCAGACCCTGCTTCTGATACCCACATGGGCCTCACCTCGATACCAGCCTCGATACCAGCCCTCACCCTTCCTTTCAGCGCTCTCTGGCCTCAGCCTCAATGGCCTGACCATCTTCTCTTTCTGCAAGACTCCAGATCTGCGGACTCCCAGCAACCTGCTGGTACTGAGCCTGGCCCTGGCCGACAGTGGGATCAGCCTGAATGCCCTTGTTGCAGCTGTATCCAGCCTCCTCCGGTACCAGCCCCTTCCCCTTCCACAGGCTCTGGGGGCTTGCTTGGAACATCATGGACAAGCAGACCAAAGTCTTTCTTTCTACCTATAGAAAACTGTCACAAGGTCAGAGGTTAGACAGGCCAAATTAAGTTAAACTCAAATTCCTGATTATTTATGAAGGTATAGCCAATGTCTAGAATGCAGGGGTTGCTCAGACCTGACCAAAGAGACAGTGGGCTGGAGGGATTCAGAACCTGAGCCCTGTATTCATGTGGTCTGGCCTTGAGTCCTTGCTCCATCATTTCCAGTCCTGGGATACTTCTGTCAATTACATATTACAACCTAATTCATATGTTTTGTTGGATGTACTAGTTTAATTATTTACAAATATCTTGAACCAACACTCTCTGGTAGGCCCTAAATAGGTGCTTGGTAAAGCAAACATGATTTATACCACACTCTAATACCTTATGTGTAAACCAGGGTCTTGGCATGTGGCCTGCAAAGATGTCTTTGGAGCCTGACTCAAAAAGAATTCCTCCTCTTTGAAGGAGGATGAATAAGAGCGTCTTCCTCTGCTTTGCCATGGGGATGAGAGTCTAACGATTTGGGGGTTTACCTCTGGCTTTGTCTTCATCTGTTGTGGTACCCTGGATAAGTAATTTTTTTTTTCTCTTGGCCTCTGTTTACCCACCTGTGATGGAGACATATGGTCTCCATCTGAATGCAGAAAGACCCTTTGGCCCATGGTGGTTCATTGGCCCACTGACCTAAACCCCAAGGCCCCAGTTGCATCATGGGAAGACACTGATAATAAGGTCCTCCTTGCAGGAGCAGGGATAACGTCCAGGGACTCTCCAGGTTCCCCCCGGGCAGGTGTGGGGTGGAAAGACTGGAGGGAAGGGTCACTCTGCTCATTGTTTCCCACAGGCGCTGGCCATATGGTTCAGAGGGCTGCCAGGCTCATGGTTTCCAGGGGTTTGCAACGGCACTGGCCAGCATCTGTGGCAGCGCAGCTATTGCCTGGGGTCGCTACCACCACTACTGCACCCGTATGTGTCTGGGCCCCTGACTGTAGGGTCACTGCAGAGTGTAGGAGGATAGAAGATAGGGAGGGGTGGTCAGTATTCAATTCAGCTCAGTGTTTTCCAAACAAGAGAGTGTGGGTGGGAGGGAGGTACATGCACACAACTTGTGGCCATTCATTTCCGAAAAAGAGGGAGAGGGAGGGTGGACAAGCCTGCTTTGAGACGCACATTAGAAAGACTGAGTCTGCCCTTGCTACAGCCTTGGTGACTCAAGGCTTTGAGCCTTAGTTTTCTTCTCTGCAAGACCTCAGAGATTCATTTTGAAAATCAGATGAGATCATGGACATAGAAAATGTCCTGGCAGTCAGATAAAATTGGAGGACAGAAGGAGGGTAAGTGAGTGAGTGTGTGTGTGTGTGTGTGTGTGTGTGTGTGTGTGTGTGTGTGTGCCCACCCTGCCATTTCATGGGTCCATGGCAGAGCCACACAAAGATGAATCCAGGTCTAGATTCCCCAAGGCTTACTGTTAGATGTGTTATCAGTGTGCCACCTGCTCTGTGGTTGCCTGTCATTTTTTGTTTGTTCTATTTTGTTTTGAGGCAGGATCTCTGGTAACTCAAACTGGCTTCCAACTCCCCATGAGTGCTGGGATTACAGCTGCGCACTTCCATGCCTGGCTCACGCAATGCTAGGATCAACCCAGTGGCTCCTGTGTGCCAGATAAGCACTGTACTAGTGAGCTGTGTCCCTAACCCTTGCTTGTTATTTTTTTCCCAACAAGTAGTTACTTTTAAAAATGTCAAACTTTTCTTTTAGTTTTATGGGTTTTGTTTTATTTCCTTAGTTTTGTTTTCTGATAGTCTCATGCAGCTCAGGCTGGTCTTGCTCTACATATGAAGGCAGGGTGACTTTGAAATCCTGGTCCTCCGGTCTCCATTTCCCAACAACTAGGTATTACAAGTGTGATTACTATGCCATGCCCAGTTTTCTTTAGAACTTAGTTTAGGATCTGGTTATATAGCTCAATTGGTAGGGTCCTTACTTAGCATCTACAGGCCTTGGATCTAGCAAAAACACCACAAAATCCTGGCATGGTGGTGCATGCCTATAATACTGACACTGGGGGTTAGAGGCAGGAGGATCAGGAGTTCAAGGTCATTTTCAGCTACTTAATGAATTAAAGGCCAACCTGAGTTACACAAGTCATTGTCTAAAAACAACAACAAAAACCCATAATTTTTATTCTTCTTAATGTCTTATTTTAAATGATATCTGTGAAATCACAGGTGTAATGTACTTAAATTCCAATACATGTTAAAACACACAGCATTATCATTACCGGAGAGAGGTACATAAACATACTTTGAGGAACTGTGTTTAACTGACCTAGACAGAAAACCTCCAGTGTGTAGCCTAAGAAACAGAGGCATATAGAAGGTAAGCAACTAGCCCTGTGTGCCCAGGAAATAGAGTTAGTTAGGGTTGGCATTGAGTATGGCCAGGATGTCTCCAGAGGTGGTTGTTCCCCTTCTCAACTGAGTCCAAGTCTTGTGTGGTGGATTTTCTCAGCATGAAGGCTCCTGTTGGGTCCATGACCACCACAGCCTAACCTTCAGGCATCAGGAGCCTCTCTCGGTGAAAAACTGCCTTGTTTTTTATTCCGAGTGATGATAGGTTAGCCTCTCCTGTCAACATGACCCTGAGGCCGCCACTTTACTGCTTCCATACTGCCTGTTCCAAATATCCCCAGGATCATCACAACACACACACAACGCACATATACACACATAAACATACAGGCATGTGTGCACACACATGGGGGGGAGGAGAGAGAGAGAGAGAGAGAGAGAGAGAGAGAGAGAGAGAGAGAGAGAGAGAGAAAGAGAGAGATGTCTCTGTAATTGACCTCCAGTCCCACCAGGCCTTCACATCAGATCCCTTCCTGCCTTGGAGGGTGCAGCAGAGCAGCATAAAGATAGGGACTAGAGAGGAGGAAGGCCAGGCTCATCCACTCCGTTCCTGGGTAACAGTGAACACTTTATCTTGGAAACATTTTTCATGCAAAAAGGCTTTTGCCACATGTGGGCCAAGCAGTGGGCCATGCTCTCTGTTGGAGTAGAGAGAGCCTTAGTGGGCCTGGGCCGCTATGACAGAACATCGAAGAGCAGATGGCTTCAACAATAGAACTTTATTTCTCTCAAGTCTGAGATCAGTGTACCAGCACATCCAGTCTTGCTTAATGCAGTTCCTGTATGCAGATGTTCACCAAACTACTTCTCCACAAGGTCATTGCTCTCATGTCTCTCCCTATACCATTATGAGAGTTGTGCACACGGTGCAGCCTAGAAAAAATCCATACTAAAAGAGCACTAAACTCACCAGGGACTCCCCTTTCATGACTAATGCCCTCCCAAAGTCCTGCCTTCAAATGCCGTCACACTGGAAATGGATAGCTTCAGCACCTGAATTTGAGGACACAACCTATCTTTAGCAGGGAAGCACACTCAAGCAAAGTCCATCTGAGGTGATGTCAAGAGAGGCTAGATGTGGGGTGAGGGAGGTTATAGACCTGTTATTCTTTGCTGGTTCAAGCCAATCTGGAGCCCTTTCTTCTGTCCTGGGATCAAAAGGGATCAACAAGTAATCCACAGACAGATGAGGATAGCTGGGACAGATGTGCTGAAGTCAGGTCGGTAATGAGGCTACAGAAGACTGGGAGCAAGACCACAGCTGGATCACACCACACCCTAAGAGACCGTCAGGACAATGGCTTCTGCCAGTAGAACTGAGATAGCACCTAGGGCCCTGAGCTTTTGTAGAGCATTGTGGAGCAGACACTTTGCCTCTCAGCAAGTACCCTGCCTCTATCGGAACTACTATGTATATCTCTTCCTTAACCTTGGCTTTGGAAGACACATCTGTCTTTTGTTTCCACTCTCTCCCTCCTCCTCTCTGTTCTCTGAAGATGATTTAGGATATTTGAGAAGACCATCACTACCCATGATCTCTTTTGTTCATCATAGTCCTCAAAGGCAGAGAGCTTCTTGTTCAATATGGAGAAAACTGAGGCTCAAAGATACCCATGCTATTACTATTGGACTAGGGATTTGGGGATGCTCTGAGGCTACAAAGCCTATTCTTTTCCATGTAGTCAACCTATCTCTTTACAACCTATCTTTCCTCTATCTTGTGCAGGTAGACAGTTGGCATGGAACACGGCCATCCCCCTGGTGATGTTTGTGTGGCTATCATCTGCCTTCTGGGCATCCCTGCCCCTGATGGGCTGGGGCCACTATGACTATGAGCCTTTGGGGACATGCTGTACATTGGACTATTCTAGACGTGACAGGTGAGATGAAAGTTGTAGCTTTGAGGCTCCCTTCCACAGGGATCTTGACTTTAAGCTTCTGTGAGAAGGATGTTCCAGATGAAAACCCAACTGGAACAATGTCAACGTTTGGGGAAATCCAAAGGATGATTATACAGTGGGTCGTTGGCCTGCATTGATCATAACTATCACAGAGCCCTACTACTCTTTGGCCCTCTTCAGTACATGGAGTTATCTTGGCTCAGAATGCATTGATTTTGGGAGGCACCCATGCCCTTAGATCAACATATCCAAATCATGTCAGGGCTTTGCATTGGTAGGGACCTCCCAGCATGGAGACATGTTCTCCATCTTCTCTCAGCACCTACTGTGGGCCAATCCCTGATAAGAAGGGGCTGAATGCATGCAGTCTCCACAACCATGGAATTTTCTTCTACTACCACACTATCTGTGTGGCTCTGGGGAGAAAGAGCTTAGAAAATCCATCAGGGATCAATTTGGGGACTGGTCACATGGCTTCTAGCACCATGCCTCCCACCTCTTTCACCTCTTGTTTCTGGCACAGTCACACTGCATTCACATTTTACAGACAATGCAGACTTCTGGAGCATTTACACCTGATAATAGGCTTCTCAGGTGAAACTGACCTGTGAGCTTGGATGGTCCCAATGTCCCGCAGAACATCACCCAACAAGGATTCCTCATACTTCCCATTAGTGAATGTATCTCTTCATGAAGTCAGGATCTGCATCCTGGTGATTTCTACTTGTTTCTGGTCATCCTCCCATCTCCTCAAGGCTTTCTGTGGTCCCTTTAATGACTCTGCGACTGTTAATTTTTTGAGACACGATCTCACATTAGCACAGACTGGCCTGAAATTCACTCTAGAGGCCAGGCTGGCAGTGAGCTTGTGGCAAGTCTTCTGCCTTGACCTCCCAGGTATGAGCCACCACACCCAGCCCCTTTTATTGACTTCTTTTTTTTAAAGATGTATTTATTTATTATGTATACAGTATTCTGCTTGCATGTATGCCTGTTAAGTCAGAAGAGAGTACCAGATCTCATTATAGATGGTTGTGTGCCACCATGTGGTTGCTGGGAATTGAACTCAGGACCTCTGGAAGAGCAGCCAGTGCTCTTAACCTCTGAGCCATCTCTCCAGTTCCCTTTATTGATTTCTTAAAGAGATGGTATCCAGTCTCTGTCATCCATAGGTTATTTTCAAATCCTTAGGCAATGCAAGAGATTTCCTCGGATAGTCTTTCCTCTTGGCCCACCAATACCTCCAGGATTTAGTGAACATATTTTCCAAATTGAAGAATCCCATCTATCCTCAGCTAACAAACAAGACAGCAAGGCTGAGCATTTGAGCTTGAAGAAATCCTTTCTTTATCTCAGCTCCTGGTTCCCAAAGGCAAACTTCAGGAATACCTATGGCTCCTGACTACTGAGGAGAATTTAGCTGGGTACAGGAGCAACTACTCTTCTCTAAGATGGGATGACACCTCTCACTGTCCAGCACAGATGTCGGTGGGCCTGGGCTGCTGGTATCCTGGGCTGCTGGATCCTGGGCTGCTGGCATCCTGGAGTTTGACCTCTGTTTCTCTACCCTTTACCCATAGAAACATCATCAGTTTCCTCTTCATCATGGCCTTTTTCAACTTTGTTGTACCCCTCTTCATCACACTCACTTCATACCAGCTCATGGAACACAAATTCTCCAGGAGTGGTCATCTGCAGGTAAGAAGCCAGCTCCTGAAGCAGCAGGAGTCTCTTGATCCTCTCAGAGACTCTGGAAACATGCATGACACAGCAGAAGTCTGTGTTTTCTGTGTTTGCAAGAATCCTGAGAAAAACCAGCTTGCACAGGGAATATGTTGTTAGGGCTAGAAAACACCCTCCTGTTGCTCAGATTTCCAGAGCTTAGGCAGCAAGGGCCAGAACAAGACAGATTCACGCAGGCCTTGCAACCCTGAGATCCAGGCTCCTACATTACATCATGCATGCTGTTACACTCCATTCTCCCTAGGGATTTGAGGCTTGGCACTAAATTGCAGAACTCTTCAAATGCTGCTTTTTAAATTGCTTTGAGATGTTTAATTTAATCACAGTCACAGGCTATTACCCACCACATAAAATCACACCTGCAAGCACATTTGTCCAAGAAAAATGATGCTTTGAAATAAGACCTCCTGGCCATTTCAGAATTTCTATATTAAAATTCCCTTGCCAGAGATTTTCATTTGACTCTGCTACCTACAAAAAATTAACAGATGAATCACAACAAGCAGCAAAGGTTTTTTTTTTAATGAAAGCAAATATTGATATTATAGACATTATATGTATTTTCACTCCATCTTTGTGAATCTTTTCTGATGAATGAAAGTTTTATGACTCCCATGTCACAAACTGGGCTGAGTCACAAACTCACCAAATGCCACACATTTAGTAATAGCAGAGATGGATCAAAACCCAGACCTGGAACTCTTCAACAAATCTCAGTGCTCAATTTCAGTGCATAAAAATATTCTTTTTTATTGAGACAATCTGCCACTTAAATTTATTACTATGAATTAGAAAACAACATTATAGGTTACTTTCATCTGTGGATCTAGCTAAAAGGTTGAGGGCTGCACTGGGACAAGAATCTTGTATCTGCTGTGGAATAATGCTTTTGTACACTGGTTTGATAAAATGCTGATTGGCCAGTAGCCAGGCAGGAAGTATAAGAGGGATAAGCAGACAAGGGGAATTCTGGGAAGAGGAAGGCTGAGTCAGGAGACACCAGTCTGCCGTCCAGGGAGCAGCACGTAACGGCACACAGGTAAAGCCATGGAATACATGGAGACATATAGATGAACAGAAATGGGCTGAGTTTAAGTGTAAGAGCTAATCAGTAGTTAGCCTGAGCTAATGGCTGAGCACTTTTAATTAATATAGCCTGTGTGTATTTACTTTGGTCTGAGTGGCTGTGGACCAGGCGGGACACAGGAAAACTTCCAGCTACATGTATCCTATTTTGGAGACCAGAGCATCACCTCTTAGGTTCTCTTCCACATTGATCACCTCAACATTAGAAAAATATTTTTATTAATTCTTTGAGTATTTCATACAATGTAGTTTTATCATATTCAACCCCCACTCCTCCTCATAACTCCTCTCAGATCAACCCCTACTTCTTGAATCCCCAGCTTCATGTCCTCTTTTTTAATAACTTAATTCACCAGCCCCAATGTGTGCTACCCATATATTCACACACATAGGACCATCTACTGGAGAACAGTCAGCCAACCCAAGTCCACACCCTTCAAAGTCCTCAACTGCCCATAGCTTCTTAGAGGTGGAGCTCATGAACACTCCCACTCGATGAGCCCGGGCTTTAACAGTCTGTACCCCATCTTCCAGAATAATAGTTGTAGGTTCACCCCTGGGGCCTATGAGCTCCTCAACAATGGGTTCTTGACTGGATTTACAGTACAATGCGTATTTTTCTTCCTGTACAATGGGCCTTAAATCCAATCAGAAAGTGATTGGTTACCCCTGTAACTTTTGTGCCATTATTACACCCACGGTCATATCTTACCATGCCAGTCATTATTGTAATTCACAAGGTTCACAGCTGGGTAAGACTGTTAATGACTTTTGTCCCCACCTGCCTGCATAGCACCTTCCAGTACTATGAAAATTAGCCATCATGGAGCAGTGTCAATACCAACTTGATATCCCTGTGTGCTATGACCAACATGTATGGCATCTTCATCAATAGCGTACTGCGATCAAGTTCTTGTGGGCAACTAAGAACAATGGCAATAGCCTGTATTGTTTGGGGGAATTTCCAGGACACCTATGACCAATTCAAGGGGATATCCCACACCTGGAACTGGGCTTTTCCTTTGGCAAGCTATGGCCTCTGGGAGGAGCATAGCCCTATGATGATTAAAGTCTCTTATCTGAATGAAGTTTAAAAACAGTAGATTTCCATTTGGCTTGTTCAAACATCTTTAGTGTTAGCTACCACCACCACCCCCCCCCCCGCCTCCTCCCCAGCTATACTCACAAACCTCTCCCCACTTTTCTCCCTCCCCATTTTTCTCCCCTTTCATTCATATCATTGATGCACTACTATACCCCCTCCCTTAGATCTTCCTCTTCACCTCAAAATGTCCCTTTCCAGTTTCCTATATTCTACAGGTACTCCAAATTCAACACACAAATATAAAGATTTGATGCTAAGATCCACATCTGAGTGAATCACATGTGTGATGCTTTTCTTTCTAGGTCTGGGTCTCACTCAGTATGTTTTCCAGTTCCACTCCCTGGTTATACTGATAGTGTGAAAAATTTTGAGCCCAGACACGATGATCTCATGAAGTGACTGCATCTGCTGATAGTGAGTTCATTCTAGGCCTGAGGAGAGCTCAGCCCTGGGTACCCTATGTACCTTGTCAGAGAGTCAAAGATTCTTCCTAAAGAACAAAGACCTGGAAGGAAGCTCATTATCCACGCCCCCCAGGCCCTACCTCCAGGCAACTCAGCTGTATCTTACCATTTTATAGACAAGGCAATTGAGGTCGGGTAGTTTAAATAACAGGCTTAAGGCAACACAGCCTTTCAAAGAGCAAAGAGTTCACATGATGCCAAGATCTTCTGCTGGTTCCGCCCCTTCCTAGAGCCCAGTCTGTACTAGCATCCCTGCCTCTGCACGGCTATGGCCACCTGGAGTGAACAGATGCTTCTTCTGATGTTTTCTTCCTAGGTGAACACCACTCTGCCAGGCAGGATGCTGCTGCTGGGCTGGGGCCCCTATGCCCTCCTGTACCTATATGCAGCCATCGCAGATGTGAGCTTCATCTCTCCCAAACTGCAGATGGTACAGACCCTTCCAAAGCCCAAAGAACTCTCCACACTACATCTTCACATCTGTCTGTCTTGCTGTATCATGCCTTCTGGCTTTCTGCTAACTCACTCACTTGTTCTCTCTTTCTTTCTCCTCCCTCTTTCTTCCTTTAAATATTCACAAAGTGTGGAAAATGTTTTTGTTCCATTCCGCTCCACCCCTTGGACCACACTGAGATGACAGAGACAGCTAGACCTATAGTGAGCATGTGCTTTAGGGCTAGGGGCTGTGATTGACATCCAGGTTGGGAACAGGTGTGTTGGCCTTGGGTTGGATGTGGTAGGGAGTTCTGCAACATTCTATGAACTATAGACATCCACCAGAAAAGGCTCAGAGGCTGAAGAATCAAGCTGAGGACAAATGATTGGCAGTTGTAAGGGGGACAAGTTATAAAATGGGACTGGGAGAGAAGTAGAGGCTTCAAAGCATCTTTCATGGGCTTTTCCAACACAACAGGTACCCGCCCTCATTGCCAAAACCATGCCCACAATCAACGCCATCAACTATGCCTTGCACAGCGAGATGGTCTGTAGAGGAATCTGGCAGTGCCTATCTCCACAGAAGAGCAAGCAGAACTGAACCCAGTGAGATTCTTCAAAAGGCTGATCACAATCAAGCCTACCTCTGCAAGTCTGGACTGAGCCCCTGGCCAGGAAGATGCCCTAGCATACTTCCCAACAGTCCCAGAGCCATGCCAGATGCTTATCCACCAGCGTCAAGAGTCCTGTTGAGTCCAACATTAGGCTGGACCCAGATACTAGGTTCCATGGAAGGAGTACTGGTCACAGTCATCTACACGTAGACTAAGAGGCCCTGGAAAAGTAACTCCCTCCAACCTCAGTTATCGGAACCCCAGAGTAAAGATGCCATTATGAATCAATGAGGATGCTGTATGCTTGAACAAGGTAGCATATGCTCACCAAGGAAATAAAATGTTTACTGAAACGGACTACTGATATGAACCTTGGCTGTGTCCTACATGAACCAAGTCTTACAATAAAAGGAGACAAAGCCCTGGGAATGGTTTTTGGGAACTCATCTGAGGTTGCCAATTTTCAAATAGCACTTACTAAGTTGTAATGGCATCGATGACTTATTCTGCCCCTTGTTCCATGTCCCCTATGGTGAGATAAGATGACAGCAATGACGAGTTGACCATACAGATTGAAGCAGAACATGCAGGTTATGTACTCCCTGAGTCAGCCACCAGCACCAACATTCAAAATGCATCCCTGGTTATATGAGATTTGGATTAAAGATTGATTTCAAATGGTTTGGAACTCATTGCCAATATTTAAAAAATTAAAGCAATTATTTAACCATCCAGTTGTCAGGAGATGTGGACCCACAGCTCTGTCTTCCTCTCCACAGTGACTGTTTGCAGAGCTCGGTCCAACTCTGCCCTTTGCCCAGAACACATATGGTCCTGTTCCAGCTCATATGTTCCCTGCAGAGCTCAGGTGCCTCTGGGTTTGTGACACTAATGAAGGGGCCCCCAGTCACCTTTAGATGTAGACCTGCACCTTCCATAGAGTCAGCAATTCAGGATCAAGATATAATAGGTGCATAGTCCTGTGCAAGACCTGCTGTCCTAGAGGGAAGTAAAGCAGATTGACGGGGTGATGGAGGCCATACTGGAAGTCTAATAGTGGAAGAAGCAGATGGCCCAGGCACTGTGAGAGACAGAAAGCACATCCTATAAAGCCAAGAACCTGAATAGGCCAGTTTCTGGCGATGAGGGGATGGTCATGTAGACTTGGGTCTGCCTCCTGGTTCTCCAGATGCAGAAAATTAGGTCACATATACACAACCCAGAAGAAGCTTGCAGAAAACAGACTCCCCTAGCTGGGCATGGTGGTGCACGCCTTTAATCCCAGCACTTAGGAGACAGAGGCAGGTGGATCTCTGTGAGTTCGAGGCCAGCCTGGTCTACAGAGGGAGTTCCAGGATAGCCAGGGCAATACAGAGAAACCCTGTCTTGAAAAAACTAAGCAAAATAAAACAAACAACAACAAAAACCCAACAAAACAAAAACCAGAGTCCTGTTTGGTCATTTTTCAGAGTGAGGCAGAGGAGAATGGGAGCAGCCTTCCCACAACACCCTTTTCTGGAGTATGTTCTGAACCAGGTGCTGTGCAGGCAAGACGACCCTGGGCCACACTCCAGGACCCAGGGAGGACACTTGGCCGAGGATGTGGATAGAGAGTGCAGCAAAGAAATCCCAGGGTCTAAGCTGGGCTTGCACATGACTCAGAAGTCAAAGTAGAAATTACTGAACAATTGCACCCACGCAAATGCAATTAGACATAACAATAATAGGGGTTATAAACACACGCTGGCATTTCATTCAGATTCTCTCTAAGTCCTTACCACAGAACTAAACCATTTCTCTCACTCCATATGACATAAGTCTGTACTCCAACTTACAGTCAACACAGTTCAACTCTGCGTTTTAATGAAATTCAAATGCATATCCACTTTCAGCCGCATTCTGGATTTAAAAAATTTCTGAAGTTTAACCAGAAAACTTAGATGCCACCATGATTTCTCAATTTTCCTTTCAAAAGCAGTCCAGTTAGGTGAAAGGCTCCATATATGCACTCGTGTGGCGTGCATGACCAGAGTCTCTGTTGCCCCCTTGTTCAGTGGCCATGGGGACAGACAACACTCTTTGTCCAAGTTTTCTGTCTTCTTGATCTCAATGGATTCTGATCAGGTCAGAGGGTTCTGAGACTATGAAAAGTCTCTTCTTTAACCAAAATGTTTAGTATGGGCTCAGTTATCTCCTTCCAACTTAAACCAAACCAACCAACCAACCAACCAACTAACCAACCAAACAACAACAACAAAAACCAAACCACCCTGGTAAAGTCTCCAAGGAAGTGAGATTAAGTGAGAATGACATTTTAATGCCACAAAATGGTCCCTTTATGGGAGGAGGTACTACAGAGCAAGGACTCTGGCTACTTGCCTCTCTCCCGTGCATGCAGCAAGGAAAACCATGTGAGCACACAGTGAAATACTGCTGTCTGCACCTCCAGAGCACAGGCCTCATCAGACACCACCTCTAGCTGGAACTTGACTTCAGATTTCTGGCCTCAGGACCCATGAAGAGATGCGTGTGTGCTATAGGAGCCCCCGCGCCTATGGGACTTTGTGCAGTGCCTTTAGCAAGCAGATAGTTTTCAGTCAAAGCTCATTTAAAACAGATGAATAGCAGAGGCAAACAAGAGTTGGACTGAGACCCCTGGAATGCCCAGGGCCACTCGTACCGAATTCCAGCCTGTATTCCTTTTAGTGTAAAATGTGTGAGCCAGGTCATGGTGTCACACACCTTTCATTCCAGCATATATGTATATAGTCTTTAGGTCAAGCCTCAATATACATATTAATAATATGAGATATGAAATTTGCCTCCTAAGATCTCTTCAGATTCAGAGTCATTGTGCTCAGTGTGCTTTAACTAACAGATTTAGGTCTAGTAGAAGACTATCCCTGACCCATGCCATCTTTCTGGGAAACATTGCTCTCCCTGCCTTGCCAAATAGATGTGAGTTATTGTTACAAATAAACCAGCAAACTGTCTTCAAAGTGTCAGACTGTCTTCATAGTAAAAGACTACAAAACTTCCATGGAACAGTTTTTCAGGGGAGGAAAGGGGCTGTGCATCCAAATGCTCAGCAAAATGAACATCAATTACATGCATTCACATTTCTTCTCAAAGGTAAAAGAGATACTGATTTTTTCCACTTATGTATTTATTTATAATTAAGTAGCAAGAAAGTTGGCCAAATTTTTACACATGTGCGTACACACACACACACACACACACACACACACACTTGAGACAAGGTCTCATGTAGCCCAGGTCTTGAACACTCATTGCAGCTAAGGATGTCCTTGAACTTCTGATCCTCCTACCACCCCACTCAGTTTATTCGGTGCTAGGAATCAAACCCAAGGATTCAGGACTCCTAGGTAAGGACTCTACCAACAGACCTGCACCCTCAGCTCTCTTATACATAGTTGTTGCCATGAACTCTAGAGGTCTTTTCCAGTTCTTCCAGTTAAAAAGGTTCTTAACCAATTTATTAAAATATAAGCTCACTCTCCTTGCACAAATGCCTGATTCCCATGTCTCCTATCAGAGTAAACGCCTGTGCTATCAGTCCTATCTTATGAGCCAATAAAAGAGAGGAAAACTAGCAAAGCTCTAATTTGCAGGAATTCATCCTGGGTAGGTGGGGTTGTGCAGTACCTAGCTAATGCCACAAGGTGGCAGTGCTCTCTCGACAATGACTTAGTCTTGGACCACCAGCCCTGTGGTGTCTTCAGCCTGTGAGTTCCCAGGCCAGGCTGATGGATCTCCTCTGTGCTTTTTTTTTTTTTTTTTGTCTAGTCTGGGTACTGAAGCCTGATGCCTGGCTATCTCTCCTTGGGTGACCTTAAGATCCTGTTTCTTTCCTTGAAAGAAACAGAATTATATATACAATGGCTGGAGGGGTCGCAGACAGCTCCCACAGAGTCCCCCTTTTCTCTGCCTACGAAGTCATCACGGAAGGTTTAGTCAGGTGTGAAACTTGGGAGTCCTCCCTGACAGGTCAGGGGTGTCAGCAGGCCATTCGGGGTCTGGTCTTGGTCTAACTGGGCAGTTGGGACAGTCCCCGGATTTCTCTGGCTTTTGAGTCTCACGTGAAAAGCAGGTGATGGTCATAGCACCGAATGCCGAGATTGCATGTGGACGGACGCACAATGTAAACTGTAGAGAGCTGGGCTGGAGGGCCCTTGGGGTGTAGCTCCTGGAGAAGCAGCTTGTGCACATGCTCATCATGTGTCATTGTTAAGGATGAGCAATGTTTCCAAAGAAACAAGAGCTGGGAAACTTCTGGATGAAAACCAAAGGCAAAATCCCTGAATCTCCCCTCTGCTGTCAGTCACGGTCACTGGTCAATTCTTTCACAAGCTGTTCCTTGGCCCTAACGCCACACACCTGTTCTTCCCTCTGCCCATTCGGCTCTCTTTACAATGGCCTCCGTTGTCTCCCTGGGCCCAGCTGCTCTTCTCCCGACAGCTGTTGGGCACCAGCGACAGCTTCGCCCTTCTAGGTAGGAGGTAGTGTGGCAGCTTGGAAAGAGCTTAGAATCCAGGGGCGGGAAGACCTGGGCAGGAATCCAAGCCTTGCCACTTCGTCAGCATGACAGTCTCTGCTTAGCCAACATTTAGGGTCTCCGGGTTTCTTCTAGGCTCCTCTGTATAACCCCTCATGACCCTCAGTTTTAGCTAAATTGGTTTCCCAAGATTTCTTCCATCCTCAGATCTGATGATTGACTGAGTTATCCTCCACCACCTCCGGGAGATGTCTGATCCTTGTCTAGGTGGTGATACAGTTTAGGCCTTGAGTGTCGCCTAAAGACTCACATGTTTAAGAGTGGGTCGGAGGCCTGTGTTGTTATTAGGGGGTGAGCGGGAAATTTAAGTAGGGGCCTAAAGGGAAAGCTTGGACCATGGGGAGCATTCTCTTAAAGAGGACAGTTGGACCGTCACCTCCTCTTTTCTCCTTTTCGCTGCCGTAAGGTTACAGACTGACTCTACCACATGTCCCCTGGCATGATGGCTGTCTGGCATGGGCCCAAAAGCCCCCATGGGGTAAAACCTCCACAACTCTGAGCCATGGCAAGCCTTCCCTCTTTATAAATTGATTACCCCAGGTATCGTTATAGTAACAGACGTCTGGCTAACACAATCATCTCAGCCAGCCTCCACCCCTGGGGCTTCTCTTGGTCACTTTCTACCCACCGACCATCTCCTTCATTATAAATTCCCACTTGCCCATGCCGTTTTATGTCGACTCCCTCTCTCTCCCCACTGTAGCTCCTGGCAAATGGTACATATTCCCAGAGCGATGATCCTAAATAACATCTGCCCTAATCACACTTTAAGAAGGTTTACAGAATAATTTCCCTTTAACAACTGTAGGACAAAGTTTGAGAGGATCTGTACTACATGCACAAAAATGGACTCCTTGAAGTAGTATAATTTCACAGTGCTTGGGCCACAGTGGGTACTCAGTGAGTACTAGTTTTTCTCTATTCGGTCCTTCTCCGATGCCTTGGGCTGCCCTCTGGATTTCATTGGTTGTTCCAGAAAAGAGCAGACAGCAGAGTTAAGATGGTTGATTGACAATGGCATTTGAGTGATGATTGCATGCAACACGAATCCCATCTCCACGCTGATTTAACTCCCGCCAAATCCTCAAAGCTTAATTCTCTCCCCAGTCTGCACATTTGAATTGGAGTCTGGAGACTCAAAAACGCAGTCGCTGGACCAGGCAAGCCAACCTCCCTTGGGGGATAGAAACTCGGACACTCTGGTCCACCCACATCTCCTAAATATGATTTGAAGTTTAAACAACATGGTTAGGGAGTTGGTGTGTGCTTTGAAAGCCGAGTGGAACCACAGCACTGTGTAGCCCATAAATGTCTGGCTCATCCCACAGAGAATCTGATAGCAGTTTTTTTTATTAATTTATTTTTGGTGACTTCACACACATAGAATGTACGTGTAATTATATATATTTTGGGTGTTTTCACTCTCATTGTCTTCTCTCACTCCGCTCCCACTCTGACTGAACCCCTTCTTCTTTCCAATAAGCTCCCTTTTTACTTTCATGGCTCTGGTCTGTTTGTTGACCCACTGAGTTTAGTAAGGCTTGCCTGCATGAGCATGCATGTGCTGTGGGCTTATTTACCAGAGCATGTGCAATTCATCAGTAGCTTCAGTATCACTGAAGAAAATGACTCTTCTCTTCCCCATCAGCCACTGACTGTTGTAAGCTCCTCAGGGAAAGGGGAAATCATGAGTCCTTCCTCATCCAAGATGGAATGTTCAGGTTGTGCCATCGTATACAGGTCCTGTGCAGGCAACCCAATTAGATACGGTGGTTTTGAAGGCCTGGACTAGTATGGGACTTCTCAAAGCAATTCATGGATTCTGATATGCAAATAGGATTGAAAACCACTGTGACTGGATGTTAGGGACCCTCCCCCTCATGGAATATGAGCTATCACTGAGAGATTACTCTGAGTTACCTCTGAGACTACTCTTTACTGTGGTGTGTGTGTGTGTGTGTGTGTGTGTGTGTGTGTGTGTGTGTGCATATTCTTCTCTCTAGAAGTTCATTTCCTCTTTGTCCATCCCCCTTTGTACCATGGCTCACTTCCATCTTTGCTTACTAATTTCTCAAATTTCAAAGATCGTAGACAAGAAGCTGCCTCTGTCCAAGGCTTTCTGCTTTGTCATTATGATATCATTTAGAAGATAATGAGCCAGGTCTTGTAATGGAGACCATAAGGCATGAGAGGATACAAATACTGCTGCATGTTGCACTGTAAATGGAAAACATGACTCCTGACTTCTGTCTCCGAGATTTGCAGACCCCAGTGCAGGCAGAGGAGTCCAGAGTGGTCAAAGGCACTTCACACTGTAAGGTGCACAGGAATCTCCTGGGTCCCTAAAAGCACAGACCCTAGTTCGGTATGTTGAGGGGAGTGTCTTTGTTAGGGTTTCTATTGCTGTGCTGAAGTGCCATGACCAAAAAGCAGGTTGGGGGGGAAAGAGCTTACACTTCCACATTGCTGTTCATTACTGAAGGAAGTCAGGACAGGAACTCAAGCAGGACAAAATCCCAGAGGCAGGAGTTAATGCAGAGGCCATGGAGGGGAGCTGCTTACTGGCTTGCTTCCCATTGCTTGCTCAGCCTACCTCTCTATAGAACCCAGGACCAACAGCCCACCATGGACTGGGCCCTCCCCAACTGATCACTAAATGAGAAAATGCCTTACGCTGGCATTTCCTCAGCTGAGGCTCCTTCCTCTGATGACTCTAACTTGTGTCAAGTTGACACACAAAACCAGCCAGTGCAGGGGAGTGAGTCTGCATTTCCAAAGCATCCCAGGTAAAGCTGA